TTAGTTTAACTTCCAGCAATTTTTTTGCCAACACATTCATGTCAGTGCCGACAAGTTTGCTTCTGTTGGCCAACCACTTATCAACATCTGTTTAAATACCTGTTGATAAAGTTTGCTTATCGAGATGCTGTACAAGGAGTCAAACTGAGTCACATACACTTAACAAGAACTCATCTTGCACACTGGTATTCTTGTCTCAGTGTCAACGTGTTCGCACGTGAAATGTGTGGAAACACAGATTGTGGAAACTGTCCATTCATCATGTTTTACAATTTTCCACTTAAAACTTCTGAAACAAAAAAAAAAAAAGAAGGAAAAGAAAAAAATTAGCTCAGGACCGTGTCATACAGATGTACGAATGTGTGGGTAGTGGATCAGAAAACCAACAGTAAAGAGGAACCATGTGGGAGGAAATATGACCATGAAGTCAATCTCAGATGAAACATTTCTTCCCCACTGAAAGGTAGGGCTGCACTCTGGGGACTCAGGGGGAAAATGATTTTCAGCCTCTCAAGCCAACACTCCCTCTTGTCCATGCTGCCATGTAAAGCCTGTTTAAACTGCATGAACTTACAGCAAGTTAGGATGTTTTTCAATTCCCTCAAATCTTCTGGTTTGGCTTGTTATTTGTTCAAAATAAAGTTTTTAACTCTTGTAATTATTCAGCTAATCTATAGGTTCATGTTGTTGTAAGGGATATCAGTTTCAGGGCTCTAAGAACTAGACTGGGATATATCTGGAGTACAAAAGCAGCAGGAATGTGCCAGGCAGGTTTTCAAAGACGAAATTGCTCAGATTTACAGCTCAGATATTGCTGAAGGGTGGGTACATAAATTCCCTTTTGTCTTAAGGTTGCAATCAGGTCTGCGGTTGTTTGCCTGTCCTGTTCTGTTGTGATACCTACACTTATGCACCTTTAGGCACATTCTGCCTGTAAATGTTAGATGTTTCAGGAATGCATGCTTCAGTGTAATGATGAGTGACCAAAAATATCCCATCCAATCCCAAGAAGTTCCTCTTTTAACTTCATGCAGCAATTTTGTTTCAAGTTACTACAGAAAATGACTAAGCTGCAAAAGTGGGAGACTCTGTAGTATATTTACGGTTTGACTACTGCCAGTCGTGTTTTGGCTTACTTTATTTCCATGTATGATAGCACCTGCACTTCAAACATGTTTCCAAATTTCAAAAGAGATCAGATTAATAGTGCAAAATATGATGCTGACAAATAAATGACAAAATACTCAGGGCTCTAGTTTTGCAGACCGGGCACGGCAGAGGCGCAGCGCACCTGCACTTCGCCAACTGGGTGTGGCCAGGCAGATTTTGCAAGTTTGGCACACTGTGCGCCCTATCGCAGCTACTCCTCTTTCCCACCTCCGTCCCTCCTACCGGCGCAAGTCGGAAAGAGGGAGGAGAAAAGGCATGGAGTGGATTTTACACACATCACACCAATCAAATGAGCCCCTCTCCTCGCCCTTAAATGTGCTGCACGAAGGCGTAATGAGAGTTTACTCAATTCGCCATTGCAGAAGAGAGCAGCAGTGTCGGATGGCCAAACTTCTCCCAGGAGGAAACTGATGCTTTGGCTGATGATGCAAAGGTAGCCTGGGAGGAGGTCACCACAATTGTAAATCAATGTTGCGTTTCTCTCGTGCGCACACGCTCTCTCTTTCTCTCTCGCAGTCTCACTCAGTTTCTTTTCTTTTGACTTTTCTAAGATGACAGATGCTGAATATATACTCCCTATCTGATGCTGTGGCTGTTTGTGGTTGGCTGAGAGGGATGTGAACTCATTAGTTTGCAGCTGTGTGTTGGGTTTCCATTACGCGTGCCAAACGTGCCAAACAGTGCCAATCCCCTTTGATCTGACATCAGATGTGACAGGACAGTCAATATAGAGATACATTTATGTAATGATTGCAGATAGTTGCATTGAATAGTGGTTTTTGGGTATTTATTGCATTGTAAATGTGCCTGATATTCTGGAAACCTGCCTGTGAGGTTTTGGTGATGTGTGCGCACTGTCTGCTGGTCAGCTAAACTTCGGCTTACACCGGCTGCGCTCCCCCTGCGCTGACAGTAGACATGGTTTCAGTTGGCGAGCTTTTAACCCACCTTCTGCGAAGCCTTTTGGCACGAAACTGTCACTGCACCAAGCTGGATCTGCTGGACACCTCCCCCTGCTGCGGCGCCACACCCATATCAGCGCACCTCGGTCTGCCAAACTACCAAACTGAGCGCGCCTCGGGTTGCGCTGCTCAAAACTAGCTCTGCGCGGGAACTAGAGCCCTCACTCTCTATCAGTCTGGTTTTAGGCCTATGCACAGTACAATATCTGCAACCTCCCTGGATCTAAATGATACTAAATGCACGAGCCCTTGATAGCAAAATATCTTGTGCTGTTCTGTTTATAGACTTGTCTAGGGTTTTTCACACCATTCGTTACTTTTAAAGAAGCATTCCCGTACTGGTTTTGATTCAGCTGCCTGTGGTTTGAAAACTACCTTTCTAACAGACTGAAAATGTGTAAGGATTGTTGATGTTCATTCCAATTATTTGAATATTACTAAAGGTGTCCCACAGGGCTCAATGTTAGGGCCAATATTGTTTTCAATTTACATAAATGATATTGCTTGTAAATTGCGTCTCTATGTATATGGCAGAGTTTTATATTGCTCTGCAACAACTGCACAATTGAATGTCTATGATTGTTGATTAATTTGCTCCAACTTCAATAACATAACCATAAGTTAGTACTTAACTCAGATAAAACCAAATGGATTCTGTTCACCAAAGCTACACATTCTGAATCTTTCAATATTCATTCTGCAAATGGCACATCCACTGAGAGAGTCCCACAGTGTAAATACCTTGGTACCTGGCTGGAAGTCAGTCTTAATTTTAACCACCATATTGAAATTCTGACTGCTAATTTGAGGACAATACTTGGCTTCTGTACAGAAGTAAGAACTATTTTTCAAACTATTTGTCAATAGAAAAATAATTCCAGAATCTGTGTTTTTGGATTATGGGGATGTTATATAAGGAAAAGCTACGGCCTCTCCACTGAAATCTCTGCCTGTTGTCTACGACTCAGCCCTGAGGTTCACAACAGGTGATTCTTATAGCACCAGTCACTGCCACCTTTACTGAAAGGTTGGCTGGCCACATTTGGCTGAGGTGAAAACAGCATTGGTATTTGTTCATTTATAAAGCTTTGATGCAGATGCCTCCACCCTATATTTCATCCTTTTAACTCTGACCTCACATAATCTGTGTACTCGCTCACAGAATAGGTTGTTGCTTCACATTCTCTTAATCAGAACTGAACTAGGAAGAATGTCATTCTCTTACAGTGCTCCTTATACATGGAATAATTTGCAAAAGATCTTAAACTTGGACACTCTGCCACCCTTAAGGCTGTTTAAATACCTTATTTCTGATCTTGTTTTAACTGAGTGTAAATGCTTTTAACTATACATCTTCACCACAACATGTTTATCACTCTGTATTTCTACTTTTAGTGATCATTTATTGCTGTTGTTGTTACTTGTTTTGTATGAGTTTATCTGTTTTAATTGATATGCATGAAGGTTCTTTGTTTGCTTATTGGTTGTTTTTAATGTCTTTGTTCATGCTTGGCATCACTGAAAATGAGGGGCTCCCTAATTTTTTTCCTGAGTGTTAATAAAGGTTTGAATGAATGAACCCAGCCAGCAATGCCACGTGGGGCCCATATGGGGTCATCATGGGTGGCAAATGTGGGCCCCATCATGGGCTTGCACCCAGGATCCACATGGGGGCCAACCGTGGATGCCCAGATGGGCTTTAAGTGGGATCTGTAAGGGTCTTATGTGGGTCCTAACTGGGCAATTCATGCAAGACCCATCTAGGCCCCACCTGCCCAAATGGGGTTAAAGTGGGATTGCACCCGGGATCCACATGGGGGCCAACCGTGGATGCCCAGATGGGCTTTAAGTGGGATCTGTAAGGGTCTTATGTGGGTCCTAACTGGGCAATTCATGCAAGACCCATCTAGGCCCCACCTGCCCAAATGGGGTTAAAGTGGGATTGCACCCGGGATCCACATGGGGGCCAACCGTGGATGCCCAGATGGGTAATGTGTAAATAATTTAGTCATCTGACATTACCCCTATACAAATTCCAATAATGTGCTTCAAACAGATGAACTCTGACTGCAGGTTTGATTTGTTTGCAGGTTTGACTCTACAGAGGCACCGCTGTTTATGTGTCCAGCTTCAAGTGGACAGAGGCACAGAGGGAGTAGCCTGCTATTTTATGAAACTGCACGGCAACCCTAAATTATCGACAGATGCTTCTGTGCCTTTCTTATAGTGCCGCAGGGTGAAGGCATGGGACATTAAAAATATGTAACCTACTTGCTCAGATGTCGATTCAACACAGTGCAATCACGCTTAACCTCAAGCAAACGTGAGGTCAACCCACACAGTGAAAAACACATTACGCAGCAGGATCACTACTGCACATGAGAAGTCACAGCTCCACTCTTTCTCAAGTACTCATCTCAACAACCCACAATTTATGCATTTAGTTGTTTGGTTACTCTGTGTTTTCACTTTTGGACTTTCCCAAAGGACAAAGGCTCTATCGCTTGGAGAAGGCATGTCTCGGCAGGAGTTTTGCGTCAGACCTCAGATTAGGGATAAAAGCTGCTATTGAGACAGAAGCATGTATCACTCTGTATAACTAAATGTCTGTACATTATATACACATCCACAGTATGCATTTATGTAACCCACGCATATGTAACCCATCAATGAAGCCAGATCTGTGTTTTGATTTGGATTTACTTGAACTGCATTGCATATGGAGCCAAACTACAGACTACAGGCCTAGTACAAGAGGTTTAATAGTCTTCAAAGGAGGAGGGTGCGAGCATCTTGAGGTCCCGCCTCGATGCGAGCGATGACGTCACATATTTAAGGAGTCAGGGATCAGATCTCCACGGTTTCCACAGACTACTCAGACAGGTCCGGTGTAGCTTTTTGCAGCGGACGCATCCTCGCAGGACTGGCCCTTTTTAGGAAGGTACTGTACTTCTGTTATCCTCTGAAAACTTTTCACTCAGGGAAAAAAAGACAATAAAAGCATGTGATGAGGCTGCAGTTACATTGTATGTTCTGGCAAACATCTCAGTCTGGAATTTGAACCGCATCGTCTGAGAGCTGCTGCGCTTTGAAGTCTACAAAGGTCTTTGTGAGCAATTAACAATGCAAATACTGTCAACCTTTAATTAAGCCTAGATACGCAATATACAGCCCATATTCTGTATCTACAGAGTGTGGGAACACTTTCTGTTGTTCAGTAGTGGTTATAGTGTGGTTTCTAGAGTTCCCGTTTCATATGTGCGCTAAATTTCAGTCATTGTGAAAATTGGTGCGCTGTTTGCATGTATGTTTTTCAGCCTTAATATTAAGTTTCAAAGACACAGGCAGTTGGGAAACTTTCCTCTAAATGTTATTATTATTATGATCTGACTGTTGCCAGTCATGTCTGTGTGGACAGCATCTTCTATGAGGCTTTTTGCAGAATTGACATAAGTGAAGGGGGGGTTGAAAAATGCACGGTTTGGCACATACAATTTCCATGTAATTACATATGAAATAAAGAAAAAGATATAAATCGAAAACATTGTGTTAGTTGGTGACAGTTTGCCAGCCATTTCCTCAAAGCCTGCTTAAAATTTGTCTGTGCTTCATTCAGTTTTAGAGATATGACTTTATTCCATTCAATTGCAGCCATATATGAAAGAGATTTTTTGCCCATTGAACTTATGGATCTAAAAAGAATAACATCTGTTGAGTTGGGTCTTGTTGAGTAGCTGTGATTGTCTCTGAAGCAGTAGTTGGGGACGGTTTTCAAGAGTGGACTTTAATGAAAGTGATTTAGGAAATCATTAATCTCATGCATCATTAGGGAGTGCTATTGACCTCTAGGTTAAATGTAAAAAGGTAATTTTATTTATTTTTTTTTATTGCAGCTCTCAAGACAATGATGGATCTAATGACCGCTACCCCTTTCTACCACATCAATGCAACAGATGCCACTGGAAGAAATGGCTCCTTGTATGAGGACGACGATGAGTATGACTATAAGGATGAGCATGCTGAGCTGAGACAGTCTCTCAACATCATGTCTCTCATTGTTTACTGCCTGGCCTTTGTTCTTGGTGTGCTCGGGAATGGAGTGGTTATCTGGGTGACCGGGTTCAAGATGAAGAAAACAGTGAACACAGTTTGGTTCCTCAACCTCGCTGTGGCCGACTTCCTCTTCACGGCATTCCTGCCCCTGAGTGTGACCTACACAGCTATGGATTTTCACTGGCCTTTCGGCAGATTCATGTGCAAACTGAACAGCACTATAAGCTTCCTGAACATGTTTGCCAGTGTCTACATTCTGGTGGTGATCAGTGTGGACAGATATGTGTCTGTGGTGTGGCCTGTCTGGGCCCAGAACCACCGAAGTGTGCAGAAGGCGTCCGGTGTGAGTCTGGGTGTTTGGATACTGGCTCTGATTCTCAGCGCTCCATACTTCATCTTCAGGGATACAGGACCATCGTATAACAATGACGACATCATCAACTGCTTCAACAACTTTGCCTTTTCTGATGACTATGAAACACCGTCTGTGAATCAGCTGCGACAGTTTCGTCATCAGGCCATGACCATCACCCGCTTCCTCCTGGGATTTGTTGTCCCCTTCACTGTCATTGTCTCCTGCTATGCTGTGATAATCCATCGTCTCAGAAGAAACCGCACCCTGGCCAGCCAGTCAAGTCGCCCCTTTAAGATCATCGCTGCAGTTATCACCACTTTTTTCCTGTGCTGGGCTCCTTATCACATCATGGCTTTAATTGAGTTGGTAAATCACATGGCTAATCATGCAAGCGAAACATTAGACCATGTCACTACTATTGGAGTCCCCATTGCAACCAGTCTGGCCTTTCTCAACAGTTGCCTGAACCCACTGCTGTATGTCTTCATGGGACAAGATTTCAAGGATAAAGTCCGCAAATCTATCCTGAATGTTTTGGAGACTGCCTTCCAGGAGGAGGTTTCTCGCTCTTATACCTACACAAACTCAATGGTGACCAGTCGGAGCAAAGAAAAGTCTGTTTCTGATGCTGAGGTATAAGGTCATCTATGACTTGATTAAACACATACTGTAACTGTACATAGCAAATGTAACTGTATATAACAAATAGCTTTCATTGTTTTTTATTCAGGAATCCTCACGATGATCTGTATACATTATCTGAAACTGAAACTTTTCAACTGTTACCATTTGACTGATATGAGTTTTTAATGATGACAACTTCAGCGATAGTAATTACAATCTGGCAGAGCAGACAGATGGTGATAATACACAATAATCTGTAGATCCATTTGTGACTTATTTGTGGGATAAAGCATTTTGGAACCAGGAAAGGTGAAACGTTGTCATTCATTATAATAAAGCTTATTAATGTTGTGCTTCACAAGGAAAAAAAACAGTAGATAAAAACATAAATACACACATGCAGACAAATTCACCCATAATGAATAACCTGTAGAGCCAGTGGCTACACTTATATTTTGAGTAACAGTGATGCCTCTCCACTTCACAGTCCTGTTTTTGACTGCACTTTTACTCAAAGCAGGACCTTCAGTCTGTAACATACTACACCTAGTGGATGTGTGCCATGTTTTTTTGACAGGAGAAACCAATCATGTGCAACACAAGCAACAGAAATATAAGATTTGGTTGGCAAAAGGAATTTAAAGCTTTCATGACAAATGTTGATTACTACAGTACATCCCCACCTGTATGGGACAGCAAAGAAAAAAACACCTAAACAAGTCTTAGTTGTTACCAGCCTGTGATTGTAGACTATATTAATAGTTAAAGAGGCCGGCACATTCCCTAAATAACTTAGTAATAGAGCTAGTTTGCCTTTCTTGCCATGGAATATTAAAGGCTGTAAACTAACATACTGAAGAGTAATGATAAAGACTTTACAGTGTGAAATAGTATCACTGAACCACTGCACGAACAGGCTTAATTCAACCCAACCACTGATCCCATTATGTCTGTACATGACAAACCCAGGCACATGACAGTGACCACAAAGGCCATCTCTGGGTGCATACGAAGAAAAAGTGAAGTGAGCAGTTACACCATCCACCTACCACCTCATTTTGTCTGAAATCACCCTGTAATCTTTTTTCTTATGCCGCCTGTCATGAGGTTACACCATAGAAACTAATTTAACTGTCTTTATACTGCTACATGTCAACTGCATGCTTTGGTATACATGAGCTTTTTACATTTGTTATTCAGCAAAAGGGCAGGCTAATGTAAGCCTAATACATACCTTTATAGTGACGTTAAGATTATTATGTGTAAAGCTGCATTGTATACTTGGCTTCGTTTGTGATTGCTGTTGTTTGTTGTTTGTTTGTTTTTATGAGTACACGCATAATGCTGTGCCATAATCAGAGAATTTTAATTTTAATCATGTTTCTACAGTTTTTTGCTTGTGTGTTCATTTGTTTGTTGATTAATCTTCCAGCTTCCTTTTCAATTTTCACTCAATTGGGCACATGTTCTATTTAAAAAAAATACTTTACACAACTTTACAAATGCCCAAGGTGACAAAGTGTCTTGTTTTGGCTGAGAAATGGAAACAAAAACCAAAGATACTCGGTTTACTGTTAAAAAAACACCAAACATTTACATTTTAGAAGCTAGAATCTGTAAATATTTGTTACTTACGCTCGAAAAATAATTAAAAGATCAGTCAGTTATCGATAAACTCTATAAGTAGAGACAAATGGCACAGTTATTCCATGTCCTGTATGACTTTGGTGTATGTGATATATTGTGATATAAAATGAAACTCTCTATAAAAGCTTTATTCTTATGTAAACAATGTAAATGATGTGATTGTTTCGATCTTTTTTTCGAGCCAGAGTCAATAAATGATGATATTATGATGGTGCTGACTGTTATTGTGGTTCTTGCCGTTACCATAACTTCCTTATTCAAATCATTTTTGGACTTTTTTCCCACTCGTGATGCACATTTCATAATCACCACATACTTTCACAAAAAAACTGTGCCTGGAATCTCCCTCTCTTGTATATATACAGTATATACAGAAAGACAGACACATACACAGCTCATCTGGTGTTACACGTAGCTAACAAGTAGTAAATACAGACTTGGCCAGCAGAGAGAGCTGTTTTACACATCAGCTGCTTCTCAGATGGAGACAGAAAACTTCAGAGGGAGAAAAAAAACCTGCAGCTCACTGTGAATGATTTGTAGCCATAAATAGTGCAAACAGATTTGTAGCACTGTTTGCAGCATTAAATGCATTCCAGACAGTAGACAGGAAGTGTGAAAATCATTTGTGATTATGTGTTAATATTTTGAATAGGCTTTTAGTGCCAGAGTCAGTAATTATCAGTAGCTTTATATCATATTATTCTTATAAATTCAGTTGGGTTTATATTTAAAACGTTTACACTCTTTATATATGAAGAAAACATAAAATGTTTAGACCCCTCTGTATCCTCTCACAATGTAATTCTAATGGTGTGAGTCACTGTCAGCTTTTGATAGGATCTTTAAGACATTTGTGGAACAATACTCTGAAGAACAGTCAACTTCTACTGTGGGAATGTTTTATTCAAGGCCATAATGAATACACCTCCTCTTGGCTTTGTTTTCAGGCTTTAGAAAATCTTGCCTATCACAGGAGTCTTTGGTCAAACACAGATCATTTTAAAGACGTGGCATTTAAATTGGCTATTCTACAAATGCAGAGGCGCATGCACGTCCCTTTATATGGTGAAAGCTTGATCCAATGATGCAGAATCCTGCAGAAAAAGTTGCTATTTCAGCATTGGCAGCAACTGCTTACACTGCAAGGCAACCTAGAAAAAGTAAGACAGATTTATCAAAAAGTCTAAAAGACAGTCTGACAGTAAGCAAAACAAAAAACATGTCAATATTGCTTAAGCATTTCATGTTGCTGATAGTTTAGCCTACTGTTAACAGCAGCCAAAAGCTCATAGCTGCAGTGCGGAGTTCATGTTTATGTAGCAGATGTTAGCGAGAGCCTCAAATCATAGTGTGTCCTCTGCCTCATTTCCCATCACTACAGACCCACCTTGCTGGGAGGTAAGAGGGCAGCTCTGGAGAATGAACCCCAGTCAGCAACTACAGCAACACAAATCCAGCCAGCGCAAACCACAGCTCCAGTGGACCAAACAGCCCTGACACCCGATCAGCCAACAGGTTAGGCCCGGCTTTACTGTCGGCCAACTGGTTGCTGTGACACCGTGTGCTGGGGCTTTTGTGTTGGCCGAATTTGAGCCGCAACAGCAACAGACTGGAGGTCTGTCTTCGGAGCTGCCGTCTGCTCTCCTCCTGGGGAAGCAGTTCACAGTAACGGGGAGCAAGGCGGAGAGACTGTGGGGCAGCTAGCTTGCTTTTTCTTGTCTCACTTGTGGGCTGATAAACAGAGACAGAGAGGAAGCGGGGCTGGAGGGGCTGAGTGAATGCCCTGTGCACAGCTCTACAATGAAATAAGATGAAATGAATCAATGTATGGGAAACACTGGGTTACTGTAAGAAGCACCTGCATATGTCCATGGTTGTCTGGTGTGAGGGACTAAGGACAGAGAGGGGAGGGAGGTGAGCTGCAGGCAGAGGGTGTTTAGAAATTCTGGTTAGTCTGTTTGCTTGTGTTTAGGTTTTTGCTTTTCTAGATTTCTGTCCGTCCCAGCTTCAAAACTCCAGTAATATTTGGAAAAACGTCCACTTTTTGTCAGGGTTTTGGCTTTGCCTCTCCTTTGTGTTTCCTGTCTCATATTTGTTTTCAGTCTGTCTGTGTGTGTTTGCTGGGCGTGGCCTCCTGGTTTCCTCCTCCTGCCAGTCCTCCTGAGTGCCAGCAGCTGCTGAATCTGCACACCTGAACTCATCAACAATCAAGCCACTGCAGTATGAAACCTCCGGCTGAGACATCCAGACTCTGCCATATCATTCAGTCTCCTCTGTGGTACAGACGTCAAGGCCGACTTCTAAGTTTTTGGACACCTTGTCTTATTGTGCTTTTTTGGGACCTCAATTCACACTTTGCTCTGTGTCTCAGATTCACCACGCCAGCTTCAACTATCAGCAGCCACGTCCAGCTTCGTCCTTGTCTTCTGCCTCTGGATGTGTACTGCTCTGTCTTTAGTTCTTCTGCCTGTTCTACTTGTTGCCATTATTTTCATTACTGAAATAATATTTGGACTTGTTTTCCACTCATAAAGTACATTTCATTATCACCACATAACTTCACTAAACTGTGCCTGAAATCTCCCTCTCTTGTATATAAAGAGGGACATGTGTGTCTATCACATACACAGCTCATCTGATATAAATAACTAACAATACTTGGCCAGCAGAGAGAGCTGTTTTACACATCAGCTGCTTCTCAGATCGAGACAGAAAACATCAGAGGGAGAAAACCTGCAGCTCACTGTGAATGATTTGCAGCCTTTAATGGTGTAAACAGATTCGTAGCACTGTTTGCAGTATTAAATGCATTCCAGACAATAGTGAGGAAGTGTGTAAAACATCACTCGTGTGATTATGTATTAATATTAGAGCAGGTATTCAGTGCCAGAGGCAGTAATTATCAGTAGTTTTTATGTTCCGTTATTCTTATAAACTCAGTCGGGTAACATTTAAGTTGGATTTCTTAATGTTTTCAGTGAAATAGTATTTATGATTACTTATTTTTTAATTGTAATTCTAATTTTACTCTATTTATATGTGAAGGGAAAATGTTAAACACTTAATTCCAGATTAGATCCTTGATTTTTGAGCAGTTCAACCTTTTAATCATTTTTGGTGTGGCCCAAGAGAGGAGTGACTTTAGCTCCTCTCACGTTGTTTTCTCAATGATCTCACTTACTTTTAATGGGATTTTTTACACAGTTTTTTCATAAAAACAGCGAGGCAGATCTCTGAAAGCAGTCCTAGCAATCCATTCCCGATCATTCCACGTCTTGATGTATTTTTTGCCTATGTGTTGGCAACATTGCAAGACGAGTTTATGGCAAAACCTACGTACTACTTAATCATAACTTTTAGTGTACTTTATATACATAAAAGTATGAATTAAGTTTAACTAGTTTCCTAAAATGCACAATACATTTCTAAGTGTGTTAAAATACATTTAAATAATCCCAACAGGTAAAAACATTTACAATTATTCGCCAAAATGAATTAATAGAATCAGGAATAAGCTCAGAAAATCAGTACTTGTAAACCAGTCTCTTTTCAGTGTATTTTAAACAAGTATTGTTTTGCTATTTTGTCCTCAACACATTTAAGTCAAGGTTCAGCATATACTGCAGACCCATCCAGTTCACAAAAGGTACACCACCCAAGTGACATATGACAATCCTTTCCTTAATCAAGAGGGTGACTTTGTTGAAAGAAGCCAGAAGAGGTCCTCCAATGACTAAAAGGATTCCAGTCACCATTTCCTCGATGACGTTATCTTCAGGATTTATTGGCTTCATGCAAAAACACAAAAAAATCAATGAGCCCTGCTTACTGTGAACTAGTTTTCTTTGGATCATGTTAAATGATATGTGAAATTACCTTACACATCTTCATATATGCAGAAGCATTCTCCCTCATGTACCATGCTCTCCTCTCTTCCTTTGCTGCGATGCTGCCTAAACACATAAGCCGATAAACTTTAAAACACAGCAGTACCTCACCTTTAATTTTACAAAAATTTGAGCAAACATGTTTTTTTTTTTACTAGAGTGAACAAGGGTGAGCTGACCTTTCAGTCAAATGGCAGCCCAAAAAGCGAGTGCTTGAAACCACAAGATAGCAGCACATCCAGTAAAGAGACACGTTCATGTAACCTCTATCAGGCACATCATGCTCAGTAAAAGTACAGCGTGTACTCTTCCCCTCTATTCAAAAGCAGCTGCTATCTGCTGCCGAGTTTCCTCTCAGACAGACCCCAGTCAGTCAGAGTTTGAAACCATACATCAGGTATAAAAACTGTAAGCACAGGGACCCCCCAGGGCTGGGTGCTGAGCCCCCTGCTATAAGCACCCTTCACCTGTGACTGTGTGGCCTCCCAGACCAACACCAGCGTTATAAAATTTGCAGATGACACCGCAGTTATTGGGCTGGTTACTGGTGGGATAGAAACATTGTACAGAAGACAGGGGGCAGAACTGGTGGCCTGGTGTCAGGTAAATAATCCCTCCCTAACTGCAGATAAAACCAAGGAGATGACTGTTGATCTTAGGAGGAGGAAAGAGCAGCACATGCCACCACACAACACTGAGACAGAGGGAGAAAGGGTGAAATCCTTTGAATTCCTTGGCACCCACATCAAAAGGATCTCACCTGGTCTCACAACACACAACAGATCATCAAGAAATCCCAGCAGTGACTGTGCTTCTTAAGAAAGCTGAGGAAATTTGGCATGCCAACCCATATCCTCTGCAACTTTTACAGATGCACAGTTGAGAGTGTTCAGTCACTGTCTGGTGTGGAAACTGCACTGCTCAGGACAGAGGGACCCTCCAGCGTGTGATAAAAACTACACAGCTCATCTCAGGAGCAGCCTTTCCATTCATTCAGGACATTTACAACACCATGGTCATCAGGAGGGCCCACACCACCATCAAGGACAGCGCACACCCCAACCACAGTCTCATCACACTTCTGCCATCAGTCAGACGCTACAGGAGTGTGAAATCCAGGACAATATCCCATCACTCTCTCTGACTGCTCTCTTTTTTTTCTTTGCTCATTTCATTTTTTAAATCCAACTTTAATTCTAATTTTTTATTGTTTTGTGTGGACTCATTGTAAGGTGTACACTGCTGCTTTTACCGTGCATATGACAATAAACTTGTTCTTAA